GCCGTCCTGTTTGTTTCTGGCTCTGGGCCCACCCCCGCCAGGGCCTCCGTTCCTGGGTCTTCCGGGAACAGGGAGAGGCCGCTCAGCTTCTCTCCCACCGGGCTCAGCCCGGCCTCAGGCAGGCCCTTCCTCTTGGTTACTTGTTAACCTCCCCACTCCCCCACTTTCCACCCGCAGGCCTCCTGGATCATCCCTTTTCCAGCTTATATTCCCTATAGTCTGGGGGTGACCTTCCAGGAGGAACAATTGTCAGGAATGATTTTACTCTGCCATTTTTAAGCCGAAGGAGACAGAAGGGAAACCCTGGAAATCACAGAAAGGGGATGAATTAGGTGCTGTGGCAGCAGAGAGAAGGGAGCACCTACTCTGATGGGAGTGACCCGGGTAGGTTTTGCTGTGGTTAGAAGTCCAAGGTCAACTGGGTTTTAACAGGTAGAGTTGAAGGGAAGTTCCTTTGAAGCAGACGGGACACTGTGACACAGAAGCAAAAAACAAGAAGTTCAGTTTGTGGGCTGGGGCTGGGCTGCGGAAGGGCTTGGATACCTCACCTGAGAAAGGCTGGATGCCTCCTACGCAGGGGACAGCTGTCAGACCGGAGAGCTGCCTCCAGGTAGTGTTAAATCCACTGGGCAAGTCCTGATGCAAAAATGTAGTACAAAACCAGATTGGACGGTTCTAAAGAGCTCTAGCTGCTCATCAGCGTTAATTTTGAAAGCCCCACCATCTACTTCATTATTGAAAATCGGGGTAAAACCGTACAGAGAACAGTGAAGCATCAGAGGAACCAGATTCCCATTTTAGGGAACTCAGATGTGCTACTTGGCATGAGACGGCCCAGCTCTCTTGGGGCTTGTTACTATTTTAAGAAATCGTTTCTTTATTAAAATTTTATGTTCCATCGTATCTAATGATCAACATTTGGTTGTTTGAAAATCCTATTAAAAGTACATTTTAGGGGCACCTGGGTGGCTCAGTCATTTGAGCATCCGACTTCGGCTCAGGTCATGATCTTGCAGTTTGTGGGTTCGAACCCCGCACCGGGCTCTGTGCTGACAGCTCGGAGCCTGGAGCCTGGAGCCTGCTTCGGATTCTGTGTCTCCCTCTCTCTCTCTGCCCCTCCCCGGCTCGTGCTCTGTCTCTCTCTCTCAAAAAATAAACATTAAAAAAAATTTTTTTAAGTACATTTTTAAACTGACAACACTTTGAGCAAATTGCATTTCAGTTGAAATGAAATTTTCCGAGGTTCTCAAGATCCCCCAAGAGTTTTTTTCCTGCAAATTGGAGCCAGACTGCACCAGTTTACCTTTTGTCCTGTTTATCAGTTAACTGGTAACACTCCGTGCCGTCTGTAATTGTGAAGAATTTTCTAAGTCTAGTTTTAAATTGCTTTTCAGCTCCACACACATGGTGTTGAGAAAGCCAAGGTTCAGAAGGAGGTGCGGCCAGACCACAGGAGCCACGGGCAGGCCTGCCCTTCTGGGGCCTTGTGACACGGCCCGTGCGAGCGCAAGGGTGTCTCGTCCAACTCACGGTGTTGTCCTGGGTCTGCGGAGGCTGGGACTCCTCCGCGATGTAGGGACATGTCAGCAGTGCCTGTGGGTGGGATCAAAACAGTGGCTGTTTCTGGCCGGATCCCTCTAGGGTGGGAAATTAAAGCATTTATTCTCTTTGGCTCTCGGTGCTGACCCCGTGCCGGATATCCTCACCTACGAGCCCGGTTAGTCCGGTGAGGAAGATATTACCTTGTAAGCCTCATCGTGTACCTGCGAACGCCGAGGTTCAGAGAGGGTCAAGGGCCCGAGCAACCCAAGTGGGACTCTAGTTGGCCTGGCGATTTCACCCGTTGGAAAGAAAGGGGGCTGGGAGGTACTTTAGGTAAGCATTTTCCTTATCTTTCGATGGTTCTGCCTCCTCTTGCAGAAGTGATGATACTCTTCACATTAAATTCTTAACTTCCTGTTTGCCGTGGGACTGCTGCCTCCCTGGGGGTTCTTCTCACAGTCTACCTTGCCACTGACCTCCAGCCCCAGTGTTCACTGAAGTCCGCACGCCTTATCAGTGCCTGACTTCCGTGTCACGGCCTGTGTGCCCCCACCGGTGGACTGGCCACATGCGGAGTCGGGTGCTGGCCTTTAGACGCCTGTGGCAACCTCATAGCAGTTATAGGGCTGAGTAAGAGCTTTTAGGTAGCAGATTAGTCCGGGAAGCGAGATGTTGTGTTTCTGAAGGAAGAGTCATTACATTTGAGAGAAAAATGGCTGTTGGCGGCTTGTAGCCTCTTTGAAAGCAGTTGTGTGTCTTTTTTCTCTAGCTGATTTTCTCTTGGCCTTTGATTCTTAGCATCTTGTCTGTGACATGTGCGTAGGTGTGGTTTTGTGTGTGTTTAACCTGCCTGGGGTTTATTCGATTCTTTTTAATAGCATCCAGCTTTCTGTTGAGATGCACCTATTTGAAAAGGATTTGGAAAACATCCACAGAAAACCTCCAGAATGACTGTGGAGCTCACGTCACATGCCGCCTTTCTCTCGGGAATTGCAGCTTCTTGAATCTCGCCTGCGTGCTGCACACTGGTGCTTTCAAACAGAGATTTGTGTATTTTGTCTGGCTTCTGTAGTTGTTTCATCATGGCCAAACTCAGAACCTTCTGGAATGGGTTTTCAACAGATATAACCACTTAGGGTTTCATGAATGATGTTGATGAATGATTTTAAAATTGGTTTTCTTGGGGTGCCTCGGGGGCTCAGTCGGTCGAGTTCCGACCCGGGATCTTGGCTCAGGTCATTATCTCACGGTTCATGAGATTGAGCCCCGCGATGCAGACTCTGCACCATTTAGAAAAGCAAGCTGAGCTGATAATTTAATGTGTTTTAAAATCGGTTTATCTGTGACTTCTGCCCCATATTCTTTGGCGGTATTTTCTAGGACCGCCATCCGGGATCCCCAGAGCGTCATCCAGATAGAGCTAGCAGACCATACACATTGGCACACCACCCCTGGGGGCCATGTAGTTGCACAAGCGGTATGAACGTCTTTGGGATTCTTGATTCAAGCTGTGGTTCAAAAAATATTTGGGCAGTTTACGGATGCCACTTAGTTGCCGATGCTCTCCCATGTCATCTGATTGGCCCTCGGGACCTCCACGTCCTCTTCCCTGCCCTCTGATGATCTTGTAGATCATTGGACACAGTCCGGGACGGGGCTAAGAGAAGCATGGAAAATAATGAATGAGATTCCCTCACCCGCCAGCCGTCCCTGTACTCATATAAGTGAACCAAGCGTCCACAGAAGTCGTGCCAAACAGAGGCAGAATGTGTCACAATAAAGGCATAAGCAGGTGTTGAATTGTTAACCCTAGTCTGATAGAAAGCCCTGGATTCCTGTAATTCTCTCCTTTCCTTTTACTGTTAAGCTAACGGGTTTGGAATACAGTGGGTGGGGGGAAGAACTTTTTTCTTCCTTAGTTAAAAAGAAAACTATGCCACGTTAAAATTTTTTTTAAAGAAACGCAGGGTCACTGTCCCCGCTGCTTAATACAGTCTGATTTTCTGCTTATTTCTCTTTGATCTTTTCCATTTAAACACATATGGTATATAATTATAGCATAAAATTTTATAGTCTATGTTTTACACTGCCATAAACCTTTTTTCTTTTTTCTACTTCAACAGAGTCTTCTAATTTTTCTATTTGATGCTTTTTTTCTCATCTCGGTATGCCAGTATTTAATGTTCTCTTTCGTCGGGGGCAGATTTCTTTTCCAATGCCAATAATTAGAAATAATGCAACATTGAACGCCTTTGACTCCTACTCCTAAAATCTAGGATGACTCCATACTTCAGCAGAAAAAGCTAGCGCACAAACCGTATGAATATTTTCACAATTCGTCATACAAACCGAAGCTCAGAAACACAATTTATGGAGCCACACACGGTTTTACAGCAGCACTTGCTTTAGGTGCTATCACTGAAAAATATTAGCCTTTTTAGCAGCTCTAAATAATACTTTAAATTTGCCTTTATCTTCATTCCTTTGGTTATTAATAAAGGTGAGCCGTCTTCCCTGTGTTTATCTGCCGTCCGTATTTAGAGAGTCCTCTTCAGCACTGAGCTTTTGGCTTTTTTTTTTTTAATGTTTATTTATTATTTTGAGAGAGGGAGACAGAGCATGAGCGGGGGCAGGGCAGAGAGAGAGGGAGACACAGAATCCGAAGCAGGCTCCAGGCTCCGAGCTGTCAGCACAGAGCCCGACGCGGGGCTCGAACCCACGAACCCGCGAAATCATGACCCTGAGCCAAAGTCAGACGCTTAACCGACTGAGCCACCCAGGCGCCCCTGAGCTTTGGGCTTTTAACGAACCATCCGCTCTGGTGCCTGAACCTGGCTTGGGATCCCAGAGGGGGCCTGTCGGGGTGATTCACAGAGATGCCAGATGTGAGCACTGCCCGAACGGGGCCCAGCCTGTGACAGGCACACGCTGAATGTTTATGCTGAGTGTTATTATGGTCCCAGGACCATAATGAAAGTACGTGTGTATTACGCGTTTCATACCTTTTCTTTCTCAGCTTCCAGGAAATGAGAAAGTACACTTGTTTGCTTTGTTATTGAACATAGGAAAAACAAATTTTCGTTTCAAGTCATTTGGTGTCACTTCAGCGTTTTCAGATGAACTGACAACCACGTCAAGGAGAAATTGCACTGAAATTTAATTCTTTTATATGGTTTAAATCATATAAAGTCTCTGTGTATGCCAAAGTCTTTAGATACAATGAACAAAGAACATTTTTGAAGTTGCTTGCGTTGTTTCCATTTAAAAGATCTCCAGTCCCTGTAGGCTTCTGTATTTTTGCTGGTGGTAACAAACTCAGCTCTTTTGGGCCTGTCCAACTTATAGAAGTTGACATCGAAGATAACTGGCAAGATCTGGTCGGCTATTTTAGTTGAAGGTATTTTTCTCCCTGACACGTGGACTTGAAAGTCTGTTCTGTTTCTCCCGTTTGTCTCCAGGTGAAAAAGGCCTTCTTTGCCTTAGTAGCCAATGGTGTCCGAGCAGCGCCGCTGTGGGAGAGTAAGAAACAAAGTTTTGTAGGTAAGCAGCGCGGGCCGGGTTGAGAGCCGAAATGGCAGCCTGAAAGGCCAAATGCCGAAGGTATTGTAATAGGCCCTGGTTTGGAATTCAGCCTAGAAAACTTGCTGCCAAGTTAAAGAACTTTCCGGCTTTTACATCCCGGCTGAGGCGGGGCCGCTGGGAAATTCAAAACACTTACGTACCCCTACTGAGTTTCTTTCTCCTATTTATTTATTCATCCAGTTTCTTTTGATTCAGTGCTCTTTTGGCTCCCAAAGGACCTTATGTGCCTTTGCCAGTTCCTGCGAGCCCGGGGGTAGGGTCCACAGGCGACGCTGTGCTCAGACACCTGACTTCGCGTGTGTGCACAGGCCCGCGGTCAGTCCCTGCTTGTCTGCCACACACCTTCTTGACGGTGCGGACGAAGTGACACAGGCCTGACGCCCGAGCCAGATCACCGCCGTACTGTTAGAAAAGTCCTGTAACTTACGATATCTGAATCCGTCACTTCTCATTGTGTAACTCGTAGCAGACAGTGAGCACGGTCTCTCCTCGTGGACATCACGTTGTTTTGAAATTACCAGTGTACATGTGCCTCCCTGCCTGGGTTACAGTTTCAGTGTCAGGGAAAAGTTTCCTGTCGTCTTCATCTTAGGATGAAGCATGTAGGAAGCACTTCGTGGCCCTTAATAAATAGGCACTAAATAAGCACTTAGACGCTCTTTATAGAATGCTTCTCAGGAAACAATCCACCTGCCCCCAGAAAGGTCACGCGTCTAAAGCTTACGGAATACTTCATCTTATTTTAAAGTATTTCCAGTTATTTACATAGCTGCAAGTCTTTTGTGATGTTTTCTATTAATCAGTAAGTTTTCCATCACTGAATTGCCAAACACTGTGGTTGCTTCCATTGTACTCACCATCCGGTCTATTTTCAGCTACGTTTGTCTTGGTTTGTTGTAGATAATTAACAGGTTAATAGCCCTAAGTAATATATTATTAAACCGTGCTTGATACCTTTAAAGTATATTTTAGAAGCTTTTCTAGTAAATATTTTTGCTTACCATTCGAAATTTTTCATAGTTTTATATTTAACATACAATTCTCTGTTCCAGGAATGCTAACAATTACAGATTTCATAAATATACTACATAGATACTATAAATCACCCATGGTAAGTGCCAGAAATCCTTATGTCCGTAATCAGAGCTGTATATTTCTGCGTGTGTGTGTCGGTTGGGGGGGGGGGTGGATTTTTACAAATAGAAGCGCAGGTCAATCGCAGAGGTCAGTTAGTCCCTGAACTTATGATCTTTCACGGCATGATGGGCGTGCTGGGGCGCTGTGACTGCACGGACCCAGGAATGAAGGCAGCCCTTCCCACAGCCTGCTGCGGGTGACGGTCCATGGCAGCGTCCCTCTGCAGATGACAGTGCCGCAGAGTGTACCTTCCTGGGCCTCTTGCTGCGAGAGCAGCTTCGTGCAGTCACCCCCTGAATTCTTCTAACAAGAACGACATGTACTCTCTGGTTTCAAAGAAGTAAATCTTAAAATTCGACGAATTCAGTTTTGACATTTTTCTGCCAGTTACAAAAGGACTGGTTAATTTTAGTGGGAGCACTCCCTCGTCCCTGGTCCAGCTGTTTTGTAAGAGCACCATTTGAGAACCACATGATGGCCTTTGTCTAACACTATGATTTTTGTGATTCTACCAGCTTGTTTGGTTTTTGTTGCTTTGGGCGGCTGATTGCTTTGTCGGGGGGGGGGGGGGGGGGGGGGGGGGGGGGGGGGGTGTTTTGTGTTTGTTTTTTCAGCAGGGGTGGGCAAGGACAGAATTACGTAATTTTTTTCCTTCATACTATTTTGGGTATCTAAAAGGTAAAAAGACAGTTCAGTCAATATTCTTTTTACGTGTAACGGTTAATATTGCCCAATAACTAAATTCCTACGTAAAAGAAAAGACATGAGACCTACTCTTCGAACTAAGTTTTACCAAAGATTTTGTAAGTATCCCATACTTATTTCGCGTGACGTGTCTGATTTCTGAAATACTACCAATGCCGGTGAATATTGGTTTTCTTCATAGTGGTCACATGTCTGCTTCTGAACTAGCAAGATCAACACAAGGATGATTATTAACTGGATGTATTTTGATAAAATGCAGCTAACCCCCGCATTAAAAATCTCAGCAGTAGTTATCAGTTAAGCCAAAGTTTTTATAAAACATTTGTCTAAATATACAGGCCCCAATTTTTTTTTATTATAATCGACATACAGTGTCAGTTTCAGGGGTGCAACATGGTGATTCAGTATCTTTACATGTTACAAACTGATCACACCAGGTCCAGTTGTACCGTCTGTCACCATACTAAGTTATTACAATTTTATTGACTATATTCCCGTGACTAATTTTATAACTGGAAGTTTGTACCTCTTAATCCCTTCCACCCATTTCTCTTGTCCCTTCCCCCTCCTTCCCCTCTGGTGGCCACCAGTTTGTTCTCTGTATCTATGAGTATATTTCTGTTCTGTTTGATTTTTAGATTCTGCATATGAGTGAAATCATAGAGTGTTTGTCTTTCTCTGACTTCACTTTATTTCACTTATTTCACTATGTCTCTGACTTATTTCTCTAGAATTTCACTCTAGGTCCATCCACGTTGTCACATTTAAATGGCGGCATTTGTTCATTATAACTGAGTAGCATTCCTGTGTGTGTGTGTGCATGTGTGTGCGTGTGAGCACCACATTTTCTTTACTCATTCATCGACTGATGGACATTTGAATTGCTTCCAGGTCTTGGCTCTTAACAACTCATGCTGCAGCAAGTGTGGGGATAAATACATCTTTTCAAATTAGTATTTGGTTTTTTTGGCGGGTGGAAGAGGGGTTTCCAGGAAACCACCTGGGGTGGAATTGCCAGATCCTGTGGTAGCTCTGTTGTTCAGTTTTTGGGGACCCTCCACACTGATTTCCACAGTGGCTGCACCAGTTTGCATTCTTAGCAACGGTGCACGAGGGTTCCTTGGTCTCCACATCCTCACCAACCCCTGTTGTTTCTTGTGTTTTTTATTTTAGCCATCCCGACAGGCGAGATCTCATTGTGGTTTGGGGTTGTATTTGCCTGATGGCTAATGATGTTGAGCATCTTCTCAAATGTTTATTGGGGGGCCAGTTTTTAAACTTGGTGAGAGTGTTCATCTCTGGTTTGGTTCTCTTACTGCTGGGATCTCCGTGGAATCCCTGGTGGCTGGTGGCTTAGTGAGGACTGTCCATTCTGCCTGGTGAAGACACAGCGTCTTGGTCAGTCTTTGCCTGGCCTCACGTCCGCTTACCCCGGCCGTGCCCAGCTTAGTGCTCCGTCCAAAGCTCAAGATCTCTGCACTGCCGTCCCCTCTTGTCGTGGACAGCTCCTCCTCGTCCCGGTTCTCTGCCCGCAAATTCCGCCTGCCCAGACTTTGATTCCTGTCTCCCTGACTCAGTGGGACTGTCATGCCCTGGCTGGGTCAGCTGCCTGCACTGCAGTCCAGAGAAAGAGGTGGGGATCATGGGGCTCGGTCTGCTTGCTTCCCTTCTCCCGGGGCTGACGGTCCGGCCGGTCCTGCCCTGCCTGTTGCCTGACGTCTGAAAACAGTCATTTCACATACTTTTTTCCATTTTCTGGTTGTTTGCAGCTGGAGACTAAGGGTAGTGCCTTCCTCTCCATCACGGCTGACTGTGCTCTGTCGATGTTTTCTGTACCTCTCTGCCCTGGATGTTTCTGGCTGCTGTGTGCATTTCAGTATCGACTTGAACACCATCTGTTGAGAGTTAAACACTGAACTTTTAGGGTAACCAAAGATCCACTTCATCTGCCCTTATTTTTGTTTTAAACCAAATGAAGAGTAAAAAGAACAAGCATTCATAGTTTTTTAAACCAACCCGCCCAGATGCCGTCTCTCGCTGCTCTCTGGACCTGCATGCTGCGCCCCCACCCCACCCCACCCCTGCAGTCTGCCTGGTTCCCTCCTGCGTTGTGTCATTCGGTCCTATCGTGACCGTTCTGCCGTGACGGGCCATCGCAGTTGTTGTTCAATGACACTGTCATTACTTCATCCTCATTTTTGAAGAAGGCTTTTGTTGCATCATAGAAGCTGAGTTGATAGTTGTTTTTAACACGTCCACGATGCAGCTCCTCCCCGGTGCTTCCGGTAAGAGGTCAGTAGACCTGTTCATTCTTACGCGTTCCGTAGAATACGCTGTTTCTTTCTGGCTTGAGATTGTCTCTCTAATTCGGGGCTTCAGCAGTAGCAGGGACATGCCCGGGTTTGGTTTTCTGTGTCTTTATCCCGCTCCAGGTTTGCTGAGTTTCCGTGATCTCCTAAGTTGGTTTTTCACTGAGTTGGGTAGTTTCTGGCTGCTGTTTCTTCAGATATTTTTCCTTTCTCATCCCCTCTCCTCTGGGACGTCAGGCACAGGAGCATCGGGCCACTTGACCACGGTGTTCATCTTTCAGGGCTCAGCATCATTGACCTGTCTTCATTTGCTACTTGCCGATTCTCCCTTGGGTGATCTCCAGCCTTATTTTCAAACCTTGTTCCTATTGAATTTTCAGTGAGATTGGGAGCTCACACTTGAAAGATTTTGTGGCGTCTTCGTAAAATTTTCTGTGGCTGATCTTCCACAAAATGGAAACGGAACTCTTAAACCATAATTTTCACATATATTTCGGAAAGAACTTTTCCTCTGAGCGAGAGCCAACGCCACCGCTGCCCCTCTCGACCACTGTGGTTACAGAAACGTAGGTACTGGATGCCTCTTTTTAACTGTTAAATTTTGTATTCGAGAACGGTGGTCGTGCAGTGTTACTCGCACTTGGTGTTGGTGACACTTCTCGTTTCTCCTCTCCTTCTGAGCTGACCTGCTAGGCTCCTTCTCTTCCTGCCTCCCCGTAATTCCTAATTGTGGATATTTTCTAAAGCTTGGCCTTTGGCCTTCTTCTCGTCTGTGTGGCTGCTCTTCCCCAACTTCATGTTCACACTCTCCTTTCTGTCCTCCTCCTTGTCCTTAGGCCCCTGCCAGTTGAAAGTCTAGACTTTCAGAATCCTACTCCTGGGTCACCTTAGTGATGGAGAGTTCCCTGTATCAGTCACCTCTGACAGAATTAGTCACTCTTTCTCTGCACCCGTTAATGCCCTTATGGCACTTTTCATGCTGCATTCTCGTTAGTCGTAAGGCAGCGTTTCTCCGCTGGGAGCCATTTTGCCCCCTCGCGACCTCCCCCCCCCCCCCCCCCCCCGGGACATTTGACAACATCTGGAGATATTTTTGGTCACAGCTAGAAGGGCAGGGTGGTTCTGGTGTCTGGCGGGCAGAGGCCAGGGATGCTGCTTAATAGCCTACAGGGTACAGGACGGTCCCTACAACAAAAAGTCACCTAGCCTAAAATGTCACTAGTGCCAGGGTTGAGAAATGCTGTTATGGGGGGATCTGAATCTCTGGCTAGATTTTGAGTTCTCTGAGGTAGAAGGTAGAGACTGTATCTTACTCATCTTTGTATCTTACACACACACACACCCTTCCCATCATGCCAGGGCCAAACACACCTGGTTCATAATAGACACTCACGTTGGTGAAACTGCATCAACGCTGGCGACTGTGGCTGAAGACCTTCGGGCCCGTGCAGGCAGGACGCAGGGAGGCCTCTGCTCAGCTGAGTGTGTCTTCTCAGGACTTCCAGAGTGAGGCCTGGAGCTATAGTTTCTGTTTGTAAACTATGTTCGACCATATCCTTGAAGAACAAAACCTTGGGACGCCTGGGTGGCTCAGCCGGTTCAGCGTCCAGCCCTTGATTTCGGATCAGGTCACGATCTCATGGTTTGTAAGTTCGGGCCCCACCCCGGGCTCCGTGCTGATGGTGCAGCCCCTGCTTGGGATTCTCTTCCCCTCTCTCTGCCCCTCTCCTGCTCGCTCTCTCTGTTTCTCTCTGAAAAATAAACTTAAAACAAAAACAAAAACAAAAACCAGAATCTTGCCATTTGCAACATGGAGGGCTCCAGAGCGTATTATGCTAAGTAAGTAAGTCAGAGAAAGACACATAACATGTGATTTCACTCATGTGTAGAATTTAAGAAACAAAACAGCTGAACATAAGGGGAAACAAAAAGAGGCAAAACATAAAACAGACTCTTAACGACAGAGAGCAAAGCGAAGGGGGCTGGAGGGAGGTGGGCGGAGGGATGGGCTAGATGGGGGATGGGCATTAAGGAGGGCACTTGTGATGAGTGCTGGGGGTTGTATGGAAGTGATGAATCACTCATTCTCTTCGTGAAACTAATATCACACCGTATGTTAACTGGAACTTAAAAACTTGAAACAAACAAAAAAAACCCACGCCCTCACCTTCCCTTGACCTTCGGTTCAGCTTTCCTCTCTGGTGTGGATATTTACTGCTCCGTCACCTAGCATCAGAACTGGGCGGGGGTGGGGGACTTTTTACCTACCGGTCTCTCTCTCTCTCTCCTGTTAAATTAATCTCTGAACCTTTCGGTCCTTCTTCCTGTGGCCCCTGTATCACCCCGATCACGGCTCTGGACCTCACCACCCGAGACTCGGTTTCCCATCTGGCGCTGGTGCTGTGAAAGCCTCCTCCTTAGAGCCTTACCATCACGTCATTCGCTACTTAAACCCATCAGGGCTGACCCGGCCTCGTCTCCCGGGCCAGGCAGCCCCCCGGGCCATGGGGCGGTCGAGTGAGCATGAGGCCACGTTGGTCCCCAGCCCTCACTCCAGCCCTGCGTGTCCTCCATGTTCCTTGAGCAGGGGCGAGTCTTTCCTCTCCAGGCCTTTACTCGAGTTTTTCTGCTTTTTGTAAAGCCCACTCGCCATGCAGGGCCTGGCTGAAATCTTCCTCCTCGACACTTCCCTGGCCTGACCTCTGGTCGTCTCTACCTTGTGTGTGTCCCCGTACTCAGCCTTTTAGAGGGTGACCTCCTACAGTTGACTGTTGAACAACACGCTAACTCTGGGGAAGTCACACATTACACAGAGTTTCAACGGCGCGGGGGTCGGCAGTCCTGACCCCGCGTCGCTGTAGGGTCGGTGGCATTTTTATCTAGGACTGCCTTGATGCTGCTGCCCTCTGGATTTTGAGCTCCAAGAAGAGGCCACGTTTTCTTATTTCAGGTGCCCCCTTGAGTCCCAGCACAACGCTGATAGAAGTAAGGCGTAGTGATTTTTTCAAACACTGAGCCGGGAGGGGAGGCCACAGGGGGGCGCCTCGGAGAACCACCGTCTTGGGCCAGGCCCTCTATTTCCTGTTCTCTCCTGGGACGCCCACAGAAGCCGTATCTGGAGGGCATTTGCACGCACTCGTCTTGGAAGGGAAGCAGATGGAGAGGTTAAATAACTTGGCCAAGAAGAGCAACTAAGAAAGTGGTAGGGCTAGCCTCGAGATTTGAAACAAAGCTGAACAACTCCAAAGTGACTTTGTATTATACTGTGCTGTTTAACCCTCCAGGTATTTTATGCCCTTCCTACCCTGGGGAAACAGGTCGATACGGTCCAGGCACAAATTGACCTAACGGCTTTATTTTAGCACGATGTAACCACTTGTCCTTTTTAAATTAGAGATGCTAAACATTTTCTGTACCCTGAAAAAGAGGGAATCGGGCATGTATGTCCATACGTGTTTTAAAATTTAAGCGGATCAGAAATGTTTCTATTAGATTCATGAAAATATTACCCTAGTTTCTGTTTTAAATTTAACAGTTTTTATTTTTTAAGTAATTTCTACGCCGAGTGTGGGGCTCCGACTCACCACCCTGACATCGGGAGTCCCGTGCCCCAACTGAGCCAGCCAGGCACCCCTATTGTATTTTAAGTTTAGAAAACATTTATCTTTCAAGAAACGTAGAGCACTTTATGTTTCTAATTTATATTTCCAGTATTTCTGAATTATCTTGACTGTTTCCATCTGCCGAATTATGGGACTCCACAGTAGTTATGAAATCATTTTTTTCTTACGTTGTATATGTTAACGTTTGTAAATAAGAATTTTTCTCGTTTGCAGGTACAGATCTATGAATTAGAGGAACATAAGATTGAAACGTGGAGGGGTAAGCACTATTGGGTGTTAAAAATCTTTTAGGATCAGGAAAAAAAAGTGTGTAAAACATGTGTTAGCTTTGCAGATCCTTTTCTCTTTGCCTAAGAAATTATGTGATTAAAACATTTATTTCTATTTTAATCTTGAGTAGTGTGCTATTATTATTGTAAACACCATCTGTTCTGTTTACTAGGGGATCCTATAACAAGTCCTCACACTAAGGCGGGGATAGAAAGACAGTGAACTAACCATTGCCCCGGTCACTGCCCCCCACGGAGCCACCACTGACTGCTAAGGATTACCCTCCTTGCCCACAGATTTATCTGTCTATAGAAAATGCACCAGGCGAGTGCTTAAGATGAACAAAATTAAGGATCTGATCTCAAATTTAATCATTATTTCTTTATCATGGAGAAACACAGAACAAATGAACCTTAAACTAGAAGGTGTGAATAAAATGACATGAAAAAGGAACCCTTCGAAGTCACAGTACCTTTTCCGCAATGGATCCATTTTTTAAATTCTGATTTCACGATCGTGAAATTGTTCTGTCTTAGCGAGCCCCGTCATGCTGGATTGATGGAGGGGGCAAAGGGCCCGTCACTGGGATGGGACAGGACTCACTGAGGAAGGCAGTCGGACCGACATTGAGGAGAGGCCTTTGTAGGGTGTTCAGAGAAGAGCCTGGCTAGAAATGGAGGGACCGGTAGATAGAAAATTTTTGATTAATAATTTGCTTGGAACGATGAGCAACCTTTGTGACCAGCAGCCGCAAAATCTGAACATCCGTGGGAATTCTCTAAAGGGCTAGCGGCTCTTTCACTCCATTTGACTTGGAAGTTTCGCTGAGCGATATATTTGATTTAGAATGGCTTTGTCAAGTCAAACAAAACAGAGTCAACATGGGATCTGTATCTTAGCACTGCCTGTTAGGAAGTGAATATATAACTGAACACCAAGACAGATCCCCCTGATCAGATTCTACTGCATCATAAGTAACGTTAGACTAAGATTTAAGTATATTTACAGTTTGACGTGAGATGGTGTTCATTCAGTGGTAATAATGGTAACGTCAAGATCCTGCTTCATACTTTTCTGTATAGAAACCTCAGCGAGGCAGATTTCATTACAGTGGGTCTTTAGGAAGATAGTTTCTACAGACTCCCAAGATCCCCAAGATGCAGGTTTTGAGCATGAGTTTGGGGAAACAAAACTTAAGCACCTTTAAAGGACAAAGTCTGTTGTAACTTTTATTTTCTATTTTAACTTGTGAAAATTAGTTTTAAAGGATTCTATGAACACTTCTGTCTTAAGGGTGATAGCAATTTGCTAATATTCTAGTGACCTCTGCTGGTTTTGATTTTTTACATCAGATTGCTTGAATATTCTTCTCATTTTTACAACATCCATTGTAATACTGTTTTTAAATATTTAATTTTTCCACAAAGGCAACATCCCGAAAGCAGCTTCTAAGTTGTTTAAAATAGTCCTAACTCTAATTTATCCGGTAGTGTTCAGTAAATTGCATTCATTTGCTTTTGGTTTTTAATCCTTCTAATTGTTGTCTGTAAATTGAAGAGTAGTTTAATTTATGTAATAATTACAAACAGCAAATGGGTTGTTACTAACTGCATATTTTCTTTCTATAAAAACAGAGCTTTATTTACAAGAAACATTTAAGCCTTTAGTGAATATATCTCCAGATGCAAGGTAAACTTGTAAAGTTTTTCTCCTTTGAAAACATTCGTTCAGATTCTTGTTTTGTTTCCATGATTGCTAGGTTTTTCATGTAGATAGGGGCCAGCCAGCCCTCCCTAATTTCAGATATTGAATTCAGTAGATGTAGAGGCAATAGAAATCAGCCAGTGTTTGTCCAGAGGATTGATAAGGGGCTGGGAGGATGGTCACGTTAAGCAGTTTTAAAATCCCGATCACCAGCAGCACAAACCATCCGGGGAGCTCTACCTCCCACCTGTTAGATCGCCTTTGGAGGGTGGTGCCCAGGAACGTGCATTCCGGAAGCTCCCCCAGGGGTTCTAGCGTGCCCTGAGGTTGAAGGTCACTCTCCGTTAGACATGGGTCAGGAGGTCATCGGAAGAACGCGCCACCCCTCGGGAGTCCTCTAGCGCATACGTTTTGACCCAGGCCTTCTGGGACGGCTCCGGCAGACCCGGGAAGGGCCAGAGCAGCCCCGAAGGGGGTTGCAGTGAGTCCGCTACGGGGCAGGGCCGGGCCCGAGCTCCTGGTCGCTGGTGTGGTCCCTTCGCAGTCCTGTCGTTCTCAAACAGCAGCATTAAACACGGTTAGAACCTCCTCTCCTAGAGATCCGTAGCTCGCGCTTGTATCTGAGATTGACACAGACTGGGAAAAATCAAGACCCTCTTGCTGAGATACCCAACTTAAAACTTTTCCCAAACACTGCTTTGAGTCAAATCAACCTTTTATTGCTGTGATGTGAAAACACTGAAAATGCTTCTAAAGCAGGGGTGGTCCAGAGCGTTTTACATTTTTCCTTAAAGCCTCCTAACAACTTTGATGGCTTTTCCCGCAGCCTCTTCGATGCTGTATACTCGTTGATCAAAAATAAAATCCACAGATTGCCAGTTATTGACCCTATCAGTGGGAATGCACTTTATATACTTACCCACAAAAGAATCCTCAAGTTCCTCCAGCTTTTTGTAAGTAGTTTTTAGTGTTTCTAAAGACGTAGTTGCATCTACTTTAACTAATTTACTTCAAGTAAATTGGCTCCTGTCACCCTCAGTAGAAGTGGTTAACTTTGGCATTGCGATTGTTAGGAGGTCTCCATCGTTGCTAAGCTGCACTTTCTCAACTTACTGCATTCTCCAAGTTGATTCCATGTAAGAAGCAGTCGCCTTTCAGGGCAAGTGTCAAAATACTCAACACGCTTGAAATTCTCTATTTAAGTTAGAATGTTTCATCACCTAAAACAAGAGGGCAGTAAAGCAATTTGCAAGTCAGTCTCTTTCAGACACTGCTATCTTAAGATCGGTTGAGCCAGTATTTACAGCAAATTGCCTTACGATGCTTTATCGGTATCATGGTTGCAGAAACATTCAAACAATACTGTCCCCAGGATTATGTTATTGGAAATTACAGCGATAGAAAAACCCACAGCGAATAGAATTTTGGCACGAGAATACCATGTTGGTCCAAATTCGGGCTGTGTTACCGGTAGGTTTTCTCAACTGCGTTTGAAACGAGACATCTTCCTAATCATCCCGAACATTGGCCTCTTTGGTCAATACTAAAAGCCCCGAAGGACCCGAGTTTTTACAAGAGGGCTTTAATTTTTCCCCTTCGGATTACATGCCCTGAATTTGCAGTTAGCCGTCGTTGGTCAGCTAGGACCAGTAGGAGGCCTCATTCGTGGTCCCGAAGAGACGACACGTGAAGTCATGTTTTTACGGAATGTAGTAGACATTAAAAATCGACCTCAGATGCGCTTCCCGGCTTCCTACCGCATCAGTTAAGGAAATAAAACAGCGCTCTAGCACGACGCAGAGAGGCCGGCATCCCGACCTCAGCTTTGCCAGACAGAAGCAACCGAGGGGTCCGTAGTTGGGAGAATCAGGCCAGTCCTGCATTTTCATAGTTTACCTGGGAAACTAACACTCTTCATGATTAAATAATTGCCAAGACAGAAGGTAGGAAATTGACAAAAAAGCAGGCAGTAGAAAGACAGTGTAGGGGACAGTCAGGGACGGATAGTGCTGGGTAGATGTCCCCCCTGTCAGGCGCAGACCCTGGGTCTGCTGTGCGCTGAACAGGCTGTCGCCCCCGTATCCCACTCAACTGGCCCCAGGGCGGGGCCGTGTATCCAGGGCCCGCAGGTGCCAGGCTTTTAGCCCACCCACCCCCTAGAGCGATTGCACTAAAGTGACAGTAATCGTCATAGCTGAAGACTCTTCAGCATTTGTCACGTGGCAGGTACCGTCCTGCCCGTGTCACACGACACCTCTAATCCTCGCCTCCACCCTCTCAGGTAGGTATTCTTACGCGTCCCCACCTTCGAGGCAGTGAAACTGAGGTGGAGCGGCTGCCAGCTCACTGCCGGCAGTGGCTGAGAGGCTCCCGACGGGCGGCCTCTCGGCCTCTCGGCCTCCCTGCCTCCGCGGCCCTGTCGGCGGGCGGTGTCTCGGCTCCTCTGTGCAGAGGCGCCCGGCTCAGAGAGTTAAGCCTGCCCCGGGTCTCCCAGATGTTTCTGGTCGAGTCCAGCCCGTTTTCACGGCTGCACCGCTGTGAATGCGAAGGAACAGTGGGAGGCGGGCCTTGGTGTCCTCCTCTTCCATAAAAAGTCGAGGAGGTCCCCTCTGCCAGTACAGCCTTACATTTGGGCCAATATGGTAATGAAGTCATGCTCTTAGAATATTCACCTAGAGGTTTTCAGATTAAAATACAGGATTTTAAATAAAACTTCAGACCCTGATTTTTACTGATACAAGATCATTTTCTGAGGCAAAAGTGGCCTTTCCCTTGGAGACCGTTGACAGTTAGCCTGAGCATACAATATGGAACAGGGGTTGTCCTGCGTCACGATCGGCTAGATGACCTAATAGGTCTTTCTTTTTTTTCTCTAAATTTCTAGGATTCTCATGATTTGAATATTGATGAACTCTTTGACTTGAACATTTTGTTTCTTCTAATTGTTCATCTTTTCCTGATAATTATAAGGTACAGCAGGAGGACGGAATCAACTATACCCTTTATACAAGGTGGATTTTTGAAACCGTAGACCTTATTTTGTCTTAGTCAAACATGACCCTAGACTCCTCTCTTCTGACTTCTCCCTCCTCCTCTAAAACAGCCCATGAAAAGAAAAGCGAACTTTTAAAGGTTCTTGCAATTCTGTTGGCCTGTTCTGTGCCCCTCGTAATCACAAGGTGGAGTCCTCAGGATGTGGGGGTGGGGGTGGGGGGCCGGGGTGAGGACTAGCTTAGCTCGGACAGCTCTCCTGAGACGCTCTGGGTCTGGAAACGCGTGGGTTCTTGGTAGATATTCCTTAATGCCGACAGCAGGACCAGGAGTTTAAGATAAATACCTAAGGATACGGGATTCTTGGTGGCTGTGGGTCTGAACTTCCAAAGAGACCTCTTGTTCCCTCTTCTGTCCACGTTTTCCGTGGGTGAAGAGGAGGGGAACGTTACACTGTGTGAGTTGCCTTGTAGTGTTTTACTAAGTCGTTGAATAGAAGCGTAGACCCGTAAACTGGTTTGAACGCAGACTGCAGTTCCTATGTGTAGCATTTCCGTGTTCGTTCGGACATCGGGTAGATGGTCAGAAAACCGCTAACCGTAATCTGTGATACGTAGTGTTTTGTTTCAAGTGTGGACATGTGCACGTTGAAGAGGTCTGCTCGGGCTCTAGAGCATTCGTGTTTATCTTCTGCTTAGATGTCTGATATGCCAAAGCCTGCCTTCATGAAGCAGAACCTAGACGCCCTTGGCATCGGGACCTACCACAACATCGCCTTCATCCACCCGGACACTCCCATCATTAAAGCCTTGAACGTCTTTGTAGAAAGACGAGTGTCGGCCTTGCCTGTGGTGGATGAGTCAGGTCTGTGGGTTTGGTCAGACAGAGACCACGCTTTGTCTCCTTGGGGCAAACTGACTGCTAAGCGGTCAGCAGATCAGACTGGGTGGGTGGCCAGCAAGGGGGGGGGCGGGATGAGAGTTTCAGACGTGGCGGATCGAGTCAGCACTCGGGTTAGCAAGGACTTGGACCTGGCTTATTTCTACACTTGCTGTTAAGATGGGATTTCACGTCTATTTAAAATTAGACAAGTTTGTTTAATTGCTAGTAAGCATCTGGCTAAGACTGATTTTAAATGGTATTTTTTTTTGTCTCTAAGACCTGTTTTTTTCTAACATTTGTTTTCATTTTTAGGAAAAGTTGTAGATATTTATTCCAAATTTGATGTCATTGTAAGTACTTTTAATTTTGTTACACCTGTCCTCTAGAATGCATTTAAAACAGATTCACGGGGCGCCTGGGTGGCTCAGTCAGTTAAGCATCCGACTTTGGCTCAGGTCATGATCTCACGATTTGTGAGTTCGAGCCCCGTGTCGGGCTCTGTGCTGACCGCTCGGAGCCTGGAGCCTGCTTCGGATTCTGCGTCTCCTTCTCTCTCTGCCCCTCAAAAATAAATAAGTGTAAAATAGGTACATTAATCTGTTTGTGGTTTTCCCTGATTTACTAGCTTTTGTGAATGTGAGGACCGGAGGATTCTGCAGACTGCCCAGGGTTACTGTGCTTAACATCCCCTGGGTTAGCAGTGAATAACATATTAGCATTTTATGGTTTTTCCAGTCTATGTGTAGTTTATCCACTACTGTAGCATGTGTGAATATTATAGATGGTCCTATTTCTGTGGGCAAGACATTATTTATTCCATGTGCTTAGTGCACACAGTAATTCAGGGGTCACTTCAGGGGTTATAATCATCTCATTGTTTTACTGATTGGGAACAGCTGTTCTAAAGAAAACAGCAAATATATTCATTATTTAAAAAATTTTTTTAATGTTTATTTTTGAGAGAGAGAGACAGAGCACGAGCGGGGGAGGGGCAGAGAAAGAGGGAGACACAGAATGGGAAGCAGGCTCCAGGCTCTGAGCTGTCAGCACAGAGCCCGACGCAGGTCTTGAACCCACAGACTGTGAGATCATGACCTGAACCAAAGTCGGATGCTCAACCGACTGAGCCACCCAGGCGCCCCTATATTAAAGTCCTGTTTCGAGGGGTCTGTTTTTGATCCCTGGTGTAAATCTGCTAGATGTAATGCTACATCTTTCTACTGAATGCTTTTTCGCCCCATTCATTTTAAATGCACTTCCTTAGAGTTTTCTAGTATCTCTAAGAAAGGAAACCAAAATTCTGGTAGCCCCAAACGTGCTCTGCATTTTTTACCCTAATATTGATCCCACCGTTAAATATAACTTGGCAGCTAGCTGTGTCTCTTGTCTCATGCATTCTGCTTAACATAACAGGCATCAAAAAATCTGCCAATTAGAATTTGGTTGGGTAGGACCCTCTGAGGTTAAAGCCACATGGGTCTGTGGGGGGCTCGTCTGGCCTGTTCTTCCTTCACGGGCTTGACCTGGCGGGTCCCTCGGTGCCTTCCTGGCGAAAACCTTGCCCCCTGGGCAGGGGCTCGCAGGGAGGGTCTACTGTTGCAGGCACCCTAGGGTGCTTCTCACCCTTTACAAATGTTAGTCTAAGGATGGGGGGGGAGGTAGTCTTCCGTAGGACAAGCAGGCAAAATTTAACAGGGTTTGTCATAATTAAGGTGTATCTCGTAAGCTCTGTGCTGACAGCTCGGAGCCCGGAGCCCGCTTCGGATTCTGTGTCTCCCCCTCTCTCTGCCCTTCCCCCACTCATGCTCTGTCTCAAAAATAGATTAAAAAAAAATTTTTTTTTAAGATAAACAATGTCTTTAAAAATCAGGTCACTTTAAACTTACTAATCTTGGTTATTAAATAGGCGAGCTGAAATCAAAGGACATAATTCACCTTCCCTTTATTACAGAACCTTGCTGCTGAGAAGACGTACAATAACCTAGATATCACAGTGACCCAGGCCCTTCAGCACCGCTCACAGTACTTTGAGGGCGTCGTGAAGTGCAGTAAGCTGGAAATACTGGAGACCATCGTGGACAGAATAGTGCGGGCCGAGGTGAGGCAGCCGGGCCAGATCACCCCCTCCCCTCCCACCCCTGCGCACGCCCGCTGCACCGGGTCCTTGCTTGAGGTGCGCGGGGATCCTGAGTCACAGCGTCAGCCAGTGCGATCGGAGATCACGCCCTCCCCGTGTTGCTTGACACATAGTAGGTCATCTGGAAATGCTCACTGCAGTGAACTGATAAGTGCAGTGTCATAGTTGAGTCAAACTGGTCAGAAACTTTCATGGTTTAAAAAGCACATAACTAAGAAAACAAATGTCCCAAGCGCTTTAGGTCCCATTAGGGGATTTACGAACTTAAAATTGTGTCATTGTATACTGCTGTAACAAAGGGAATGGTCACTCAAAACATCCTTTGATCTTCATAAATTAATGTTCTCGCTTTCCTGATCGAGATAAGAGTAGATGGTCAAATAACTTCGTCTCCTGACCCTCTGCACTCTGGGTGCCCGCGTACGTGAGGGTTTTGAGTATACTTCGGATAACGCTTCCGATAAAAGATGAGCGAGATCAGCATATAATGTATCTAATCCAGGATCCCCACTCCCGGAATCTTTCCTTCCCTTCCTCATTAGACAGGGATGGGAATGTTAGCCGTTTATCACTCTCGAGGACTGACATACCGTGTTCTTTCTGGAACTGCCCCGAAGTAGGCAGAATCCATTCATAATGATACATCTGCTTTGGTCATTCTTATTATAAATAGGAGAATACAGTCCACGAAGAAAAGCCCCTGATTAGTTCGTAGGCTACTAACAGGCGATCCTAACATTACCTGTGAAGCAGGGGGTTGCACCCTCTCGGGAGCCATCTTACAGAAACATAGCCCCGTCTTCATCCTTGCGTGTTGAAGACTTCACCTTGGCGTGGGCTCACCCGCGGGGCCTCCCCCCGCTACCACTGTTCACAGCTTTTGAAACGTATTTCACTTAGAATCTCAGTAGGAACTCTTTCCTTTTTCTGCTTGAGTTTAGTACCCATCACTCTTGTTCTCCAAAGAGTTTTAGTGGACTTGGGAATACATCTTTACTTTTTATGAAGGTCCACAGAATTACAGGCCTTTCGAAGATCATAGGCAGAAATGGGTAAGACCCCTCTTCCTAATTATCTATAAGGACAGTGCACATCCATGTGATGAAATCCTTTACAACAATGAGAAATGTCCTAGAAGGTACAGAAAAAACATTAACAATGTATTACCAAGAGAAAAAGCCACTTGCCATATATAGCGTGAGTGTATTCATTTACCTGCTCACGTGTATAGAAAAGAGGCCAGAAAGACCTGCGCCACAGCAGTAGCCGTGGCTGGTCCTGGGTGGCAGAGTTCTGGTTAGCGTGGGGAACACCGTCCGGTGTTCCTCTGTCCTGAGCTCTCTTGTCTGAGCATATATTATTCTCGGGCAAAAGAGAAAAGCAATTGGCTCGTCTTTTCGGCCCATCTGGCAAGCAATAGAAATTTCTTTGTCATAGGAAATAGGTCATTGAGGAAAAAGATGTAATTTAACACTTTTCTCAAGTTACCCATTTTGACTTTTTTCCCCATTGAAATAATTTCTTTCACCAGATGGCTCCTTGCTGGGGGACAAAGGCCAATTTTAGCTTCATTACAGTTGTTGGGGAAAGGGTATACAGTATCCATAATGATTTAATTATTTATAGGACATAAATATCACACCAGAATATTCGCTAGTCTAGACTCAGCAACAAATGGCAAGAAAATATTTTTGGTAGTCATTTCTGCCTGGAAGAATGAATTCTCTGGGTAAGATCGCTGCCCCTTGACCAGTCATTCAAAAGAGAGTTACTTAATTAGCATTATTGGACGTTAACAACAAAATGTGTCCAGTATAGACTAGAAAGCACTCTCTGATCCTAGATACAAGCCATCGTTTTAATTTATAATTATAGTAAAATAATTGTGTTCTATCACAGGATTATTGAAGACCCAAAGTTTTTTTAGAAAAACTTTTCAAGTTTATTTAAGTCCTCTCTACACCCAACATCTAGAGTAAGACCCCACAACACAAGCCATTCATTTGCTAAAGATCTCGGTGGAAAATGAGATGTGAATGTTTCAATTATAGTTCACTTATCTTCTGAACTGAGCATATTACATAGGAATTTCATAGAGAAAAGACTACAGAAAAATGAAGAACCGTGACCCATTTTGTTCTAGCTCTCATTTGGTTGGACGTCCTTCCCACGTAAATCAGTATCTGAGAGTTACGAGAAACTGAGATACAACTGTGAAGAATTAAGAACTTACGTTTAAGATTATGGCTGCCCGGTACCTTCATGTTTTGGGGTTGCATCGTTCCTATATCGATATTCTGAAATTTGAAAACAGCAGGACACAGCCGATTTTTCCCACAAGTAATTAAGAAAGTCAGCACTGCATTGTAGCTTCAGAGCCTAAGACCCTTCAAGGTTCTGTGCGCTCTTTCCATCTCTCATTTGTGGGATGTACTCAGGGCATCGTATACGAAAGACCTTTTCCCTTACACCCGTTTTAAACCTTCATGTAAATTCTGACCCACTTTTCTCGCGTTTGCAGGTGCATCGGCTGGTGGTAGTAAATGAAGCAGATAGCATCGTGGGTATTATCTCCCTGTCAGACATTCTGCAGGCCCTGATACTCACGCCCGCAGGTACGAGTGCCGGGTGCTGGCCTTGCCCTTTGTGTGCGAGAAGGGGGGGTGGGGGCTGCCGGGCGGGGGCGGGGGCCCCGTGCAGGTACTTCACCACCGCGCACAGACAGAGCTCGGTGTTTCGGGGTTGTATCGCTCCTATATTGATATTCTGAAATTTGAATTCTCGTGCATTGCCCTGTAAACCATTTGCACTTTCTGTGTGGTTTTTCTTTGTTTCACTGCTCTGCGTGGGTGAGAGATAAAAGTTGATAGAAATTCTGAGGAGCATCCTATCAACAACCAGCAGCGTCTGCATAAGTGAGGATTCGTTGCCATAGTCCTAACCCTTCCCATTCAAAAGCGAAGACTCCTTCAGTTTTGATTTTTAGGACGACTACCTAGAAAACATAGGAGGGGAAATTCTTCGCTCTACCCTTAAAAAAAAAAAAAACACAAAAAAATCTTGTGTTTTGAGTATATAAAACAGAAGGCCTAAACACAAACTTTTTTCCATTAACAACAGCATAAGGGAATTACATTACCTCCCAAACAGCATCGGTAGCTAACCTCATTTTGTGCCAGACCAGCTCGGCGCAAGCTCTGAGGCCAGTCAGGGAGCGTGCAGGGTTGGGGAGGAGGGGGCTCTGGGAAAGAGGGCTGCTGTGTCTCCTGTGGGCCATGTTTAGTAGTGAGAGGCGGGCTAAGGGGTCCTAAAAGCACCAGCCCTCTCTTTTTCCTCCCTACTCCTCCCCTTCCCACCCCCATCAAGTACAAACAGTCCAGCCTTGGGCCAGACTGACCCGTGCCAAGACTGCAGACTAAGTGACGTACACTCCGAACCCCCTAGAAGTTAAACATTAAAGTGTGCATGTACTCAAAAACAGACACACACACCGGTGGAACAGAACAGAGACCCCAGAATTGGAGCCACAAATATATGGCCAACTAATCTTTGACAAAGCAGGAAAGAGGATCCAATGGAAAAAAGTCTCTTTAACAAACGGTGCTGGGAGAACTGGACAACAACATGCAGAAGAATGAAACGAGACCACTTTCTGACACCAGTCACAAAAAGAAACTCAAGATGGATAAAGAACCTGAATGTGAGACAGGGAACCATCAAAATTCTAGAGGAGAAAGCAGGAAAAAATCTCTCTGACCTCGGCCGCAGCAGTTTCTTACTTGACACATCTCCAAAGGCAAGGGAATTAAAAGCAAAAATGGGGGTGCCTGGGTGGCGCAGTCGGTTAGCGTCCGACTTCAGCCAGGTCACGATCTCGCGGTCTGTGAGTTCGAGCCCCGCGTCGGGCTCTGGGCTGATGGCTCAGAGCCTGGAGCCTGTTTCCGATTCTGTGTCTCCCTCTCTCTCTGCCCCTCCCCCGTTCATTCTCTGTCTCTCTCTGTCCCAAAAATAAATAAACATTGAAAAAAAAAAATTAAAAAAAAAATAAAAGCAAAAATGAACTATTGGGACATCATCCAGATAAAAAGCTTTTGCACCGCAAAGGAAACAATCAACAAAACTAAAAGGCAACCGATGGAATGGGAAAAGATATTTGCCAATGACATGTCCAACAAAGGGCTAGTATCCAAAATCTATAAAGAACTCACCAAACTCCACACCCGAAAAACATAATCCAGAAAGAATTGGGCAGAAGACATGATTAGACACTTTTCTAAAGAAGACATCCAGATGGCCAACAGGCACATGAAAAGATGCTCAACGTCACTCCTCATCAGGGAAATGCAAATCAAAACCACACTGAGATAGCACCTCATGCAGGTCAGAGTGGCTAAAATGAACAAATCGGGAGACTGTAGATGCTGGTGAGGATGTGGAGAAATGGGAACCCTCTTGCACTGTTGGTGGGAATGCAAACTGGGGCAGCCGCTCTGGAAAACAGTGTGGAGGTTCCTCAAAAAATTAAAAATAGATCTACCCTATGACCCAGCAGTAGCACTGCTAGGAATTTACCCAAGGGATACAGGAGTGCTGATGCAGAGGGGCACTTGTACCCCAATGTTTATAGCAGCAATTTCAACAACAGCCCAATTATGGAAAGAGCCTAAATGTCCATCAGTGGATGAATGGATACAGAAGATGTGGTTTATATATATAATGGAAAACTACTTGGCCATGAGAGAGAACGAAATCCTGCCATTTGCAGCAACGTGGATGGAACTGGAGGGTATTATGCTGAGTGAAATAAGTCAGAGAGAGACAGATGTCGTATGTTTTCACTCATACGTGGATCCTGAGAAACTTAACCGAAGACCATGGGGGAGGGGAAGGGGAGAAAATAGTTACAGAGGGGGAGGGACGGAGGCAAACCGTAAGAGACCCTTAAATACAGAGAACTGAGGGTGGATGGGGGGTGAGGGAGAGGGGAAAATGGGTGATGGGCACTGAGGAGGGCACCTGTTGGGATGAGCACTGGGTGTTGTACGGAAACCAATGTGACAACAAATTATATTTTTTAAAAATGAGCCCAATTAAATAATGGGGAAAAAATAAACCGTGCATGTACTACAGTACCTATTTTACCTTGGTTCAGAAATCAAACTAGCCAAGACCAGTTTCCAGTTGGTTTCTAACCTAAAGATGCCCATCTTAAAGGAGTCCCTGCCACCGGCGAGAAATCTCACCTCCTCTGGGTGCAAGCAGCGAGGCCGTGACTCCAGCAGAGAAGCAGCAACCGGGGAGGGGGTCCACGGACTGAGAAAACACACGCGAACCCCTAGCAGAAAGATAAGCAGGTGGCGCCACCCCCGTGCCGCGGGACCCTCCCCGGCTAGCAGGGCGCTCACACGGCTGTACTTGACCTACGCACGGAGGTCACCCGGAGCAGGCGGGCGAGACCCATCCGGAGCGCGTGATCCCACTCCTGTGCGGCCTGCACACAGCTCCTTTGTGCGCACGGGGACGGGCCTCGTCCAGGGCGGGCTCGTCCTCGCGGGCACGTAACTTAGCACCTTCAGAAAGAGGCACCCCTCTCCCGGGCAGCTGGCCCGGGCCAGGGCACACGTTCAGCCAGCAGCGTTAGGGCTCATTTCGGCCCCTCTCGGTCTCATGGCCAAGATTCTTTGTGCGTGGTAAGCTCCAGAGTGAACGAATCACGTTCTTTAGCCTCTGTGTGCCTAGTGTCACAGACCCAAAGAAGGAGAGTGGTGGCCCGGGGCGCCGGGCTCAGTAGAGCATGCGACTCTTGACCTCAGGGTTGTGAGTTCGAGCTCCACGTTGGGCGTAGAGATTAAAAGAATTAAAAAAAATTTTTTTTAAACGAATGAAAATGTTGGGCTGGATGAGTTGACATTTCCATCCACATTTGAGATTTTTTAAATTCCAAGTCATTAATACTCCTCTGCGGGGAGGAACCCTGTTCCACAGCCGAATTTGGTATGTGCGTTACCATAGAAATAACGTTCTAAAGATAGTAGTTGAGTTAGAATTCTCTGCAGTGTAGTGTGTAGAACCTATTTAGGAAAAGTGCTCCGTGTCCCTAATAACTGCATCGCAAGTGAACGTTCGGAGAGCTCTCCGGGAACACCGGCCCTGCCCGCCTCGGATCAGCAGCCCTTGAGATGCCGTCATCGTGAGAGACGGTGCCGTGTAAGCATCAGGTGAGGGCTCCGGCCTGGCCCCCGTCTCCCCCGGGAGTTGCCCGTGTGTGGCCTCATTTAGCCCCTGGTCCAGGCAGCCGTCCGGTGAGCAGGCTGACCCAGGCCCTGCGTCCTTCCAGACACACTCTGATACCAAACCCACAGGTGAGGCTGTTTGCGGGCGACGAGGGACCGCAGCCGGGACCCGCGCTGCTGGGTGGGAATCAGCGGCAAGAGGCACTTCGAGAAGGCATCCGCTGTTGGGTGAATAAAAGCTACCAGTGGTGATTCAGCAGCCAGTGGACACGGTCCTCCATCAAGGACGCGGATTGGCCGTAGTAACATTTTCTCTTCGGCAGTAGCTCCTTGTCACACGTGGACCGTCCAGGCAAACCTACGTGTGCGCGCGTGCACGCGACCGATGAATAAATGATCGGTTAGCGGTAGCTATGGTTTTTTAGCCCCTTATTTTCTATGGGTTCATCTCTTTCAAAAGTCTTCTTGGGTCTCAAGGGACAACAGGAGAGGCTGCTGTGCTGAGAAAAACGTAGCGCTCCCGCCAACCCGCCCGGAAAGTCACGAGCCAGATGCGTGCAGATACCCGTAAACGTGTTGGAACGCTTTTGTTCAACATTTTGGAAGTACGCACAGGCACACCTCAGGGACCCTGTGGGCTGGGGTCCGGACCCCTGCAGTACAGCGAATGTCACAATAAAGCGAGTGGAAGGAAGGTGTTGGTTTCCCGGTGCATGGAAGGCACGTTTGCACCACACGTTTGCGGCATGTGACGTGTGCCCCAGCACCGCGGCCAAAACGACAGTGGACACACCTCCGTGAAAAGCGACTTTATTGCTGAAACGTGCTAACCGCCGTCTGAGCTTCCAACGGGTCCTAATCCTCTTGCTGGAGGGGGTCCTGTCCCACGGTGACGGCTGCTGACCGGGCAGGGTGGTGGGCGCTGAAGGCCGGGGTGGCTGTGCAGCGTCTGAAACTAAGACAGCAGGGACGTTGGCCGCACCGGGTGGCTCTTCCCGTCACGAACGATTTCTCTGTGGCGGGCGGTGCCGTTTGATGGCATTTTACCCAGAGGAGAACTTTCCCCGAACCGGGGTCTGTCCTCTCAGCCCCCGCCGCCTAGCCTACCAGGCTTCCGGAACGTTCCAAATCCCTTGTGACCGTGTCTTCGCGGCATCTCCACCGGGAGGAGATGCCACCTCAGGAAGCCGCTTTCTTTGCCCCTCCTCGTCCGTCCAGGTTTCATCCTGAGATGGTGGCGACCCCGTCCCCTCTTCAGGCTCCACTTCTGATCCCAGTTCTCTTGCTGTTTCTACCGCATCCACAGTGACTCCACTGAGGTCCTGAACCCTCCACGTCCTCTCCAGGAGGATTGGAATCACCTTCTTCCAAACTCCGGATTATGTTGATAATCTGATCTCTTCCTGTAATCACGAACGTTCTTAATGGCTTCTAGAACGGTGAATCCTTCCCAGAAGGTTTTCAGTCGCCTTCAGATGCATCTGAGGAGTTCCAGGCGTGGCAGCTGTCGCCTTGTGACCCGTGTTTCTTAAATACTAGACTCGAAGGCC